AAAATTTAAATTAATTTGTTTACATATTAAAATTTAACATTTTGTCATTAAAAAAAATAACATTTTGAAATAAAACTATTAGCATAATTATAATTATCTAGCATCTCATAATGAAGTAGCAATATTGTTGCAAATCTAATAATAATAATAATAATAATAATATTATTATTATTATTATTATTATTATTATTATTATTATTATTATTTGCAGTGAATATTGTGGATAAAGCAGAAGAGAAAATGATTTTAATTGGAAAGGGTAAATTATGTCATTTCTTTAAAATAATAAGGATAAAGATGGAAGAAAAAGTTAGGAAGCTATGAGTTTATTTTGAAACGCTACCAAGGTAGTATTCCAAAATAAGTTCTTATTTTAAGCTAGGAGCTTATTTTAGGAACATTACCAAATAGAGCGTATAACTTATTAGTAGATTAAAATAAACTATAAGCTCGTAAATAAACTCTGCCAAATAGAGCCATATATCTTATATGTAATTGGGAGTTATTGTATAAATAAATTATATTTAATATATATTTTTGAATAGTAATTATAAATTTTAAATCAATTTGTACTTCGTAATGAGACAAGAGCCTATGTGAAGAAAATTAGGTATCTATATGGTCCTTAAATTTTTTAAGATGTAATACTAAACTTTGGAAATGTATGAGACCGTAAATATGATAATAATGATAGCTGAGTGTAAGAGGTGAAAGTTTGGAAGAATGACCAAGGATCGAGTCTCACCAGCGACAGTGTGGAATAACCTCTCAAAGTGAGGGGACTCTTTGTGCGCAGTAAGCAAATGTTAGTTTTTGTGGTTCATGTTCAGTATAGTTATCATGATTTACATCTTCCTAAATGCTCTGTCGAGTTGGGGTTCAATCTTTTGGAAGAATGATAGCTGAGTGTAACCTTCCATAATTCAGCAGACAATAATGAAATATATTAGCATATAGTAGTACAACTCAAGCCCACCATAGGCAAGTGATTTAATTCATCAAATAATTAACAATTATTTGGATTTAATGATTGTATGATACTTCTTACTCGAATTCTCTTTGCATTTCCGTTTATAATTGAAATTAAATCTCCTTTCTATATCAACCAAACAAATAATGTCATGAAATGAAATCATGACAAAACCAAGCTAAGGCCCTATGAAATTGGTTTGATTCTCAATTATCTTGAAAATATTTGCAATAATGTTGTTTTAACAACCACAATAATGTCTTTATATTTAAAAAAAAAAAACTATAAATGCCTATTAATTATTTTATTCGCAACATTTGTCGTTGTCGGTCAAAAAATGATTAATTTCTTAAATTTATTGAGTATAAGTGTATAATTTTAATAGCATAAGGTGGCCTTTGATATTGTTGAAAAGAAAGAAAAAAAAAAAAAACAAAGCATTATTGATACGTTGATGACTTTTGGGTTCCTAACATCTATATCTATATACATATAATCAAACGTTAAAGGACAAAAACGAAAAGAAAGAACTGGTCACGCTCAATGCGGGACACATATAGAATTTTAGGGTTAGTAGAATATTAGATCAGATTATGCAGGACGACAACTAGTCGTGATTGTCAGAGTATAGTGTAATAGTGGATTAGTAGAGAAATAAATTATACTAATTGAATAATTTGTTAAGTGGAAAGATCAATGTTTGGTAAGAAGCTCATCATATTAAGTGTCACTCATACATTGCAGTTGTTAGGACTCGATCTTGTATTATTATCCATAATCTATCAATTATAAATCAACTGAGTTCTTTATGGAGACAACATACTTTATTGTGATCGCAAGGGTGCGTGACGAGTGGTTCAAGAGTATTGTTGATTACACAAATTAGTATGTCTGAGGAAATGAACAGCACGTCATAGTTGGTCGAAAATTTGATCGGAAAATTAGACGGCATGACCAATGTGATGCAAATTACATAGTCATGCACCTAATTTGAAAACATTAATAGTCAATGACCAAATGCGATACAAATTACATATTCATGTACTTAATTTGAAAATATTAATAGTCAAGGATCAAATTTGATAAATATACAATAATCAAAGATCAAAAGTGAATTTTTTTTTATGATGAAACTTGGAATGTAGTGGTTGACTCAGCTCTTACTCTATATTATATATATATATATATTATATTTTAGGATCAGACGAGTAATTGTCCAATAGAAAATCAAACAAATTCATCAAAATAGACATTCTGACCAAAATTGACTTTTTTTTTTTTTTTTTTTTAATACCAAATTTGAAATATCATCTTCTACAATAAAAACAAGTGATCAGAAATTAATTTTCCACTTCAATGAAATTGACACTTTATTTGTACTTCACAATGCATGGCTATGGTCTATGGATAAGAGCTCTTTGGGTTAGATCAATATTTAGCCGACGAAGGAAACATGCAAATCACACGAGAGATAACTCGCACTATAAGGATTCTATGCAATTAGTTTGATTAATAGAATGTTTGTAATAATCGAATTCATAATCTTTAAATACCATATTAAAAAAATAATAATAATAAGTACCATAATCATGCTACACCTACTTGAGTCACCTCTTTCGAAGTAATAATGTAATACTTTTGAATGACTATATATTTAGTTATTGGACATGCGATTTCATCATACATGTGTGCTCACAACTATTGTATGTAATTTATTAAGGTGAGATATAACAAGAAAATTATATTTTTAGTTAGAGATAACAAAAATAAAACTATTAATTGAGAATAAATATCATATATCACAATATTGTTTTCTTTTTAATATATAAAGTTAATAACTATTTTGGTCTCTCAATTATTTTCCAATGGTTATGTAGTTCATAATTTTCAATTTCAACCAATTTTAAGTTCAGTGGCCTAATTGCATTCTCGTGTGCAGTTCAGTGATCTATTTGACCCTTATTCCAATAGTTTATAACACTGCTGGAAATTCTGAAATTTCCGATCACCTGAAAGTGATCTTAATCAAGTCGAAAGCCTTGTGCCGACCACTTTTGGTATCCGAAAAGACCCTTATTGCTATTTTCGACCACTTTTTACTTTCAACTTGATTTAAGATCACTTTTAAGTGGTCGGGAATTCAATAATTTCTAGTAGTGTAAGTTACACAAAATAAATAAACCTCTGATAGGGTTATGTTGTCATTGTTGTGTGTGTCTGGTAGACAGAAACCTGCTGGCAATAATTTTTGATCACTTAGCATCCAACCGTAGCTTGTCGAACCTAGTTTCTTAAAATATTTTATTAAATTGTTTCCTCGTTACGTTCTCTTTTGATGAATGTGATACCAATAAAAAATAAATAAAGAATAACAAAAGAAGAATGCAAAAGTGAAGTAAAAGAAAAGTGAAAAAGGACAATTGTTTTCTTGTGTGGGTAATCTAATGAACATAGTAGTTTAAAAAAAAAATAAAAAATGAACATAGTAAGAATCCCAAAGAGTTAGAACAAAAAGGAAAAAGAGAAAGCTGACAGCAGAAAAGCTTCAATCATCTTCCGCATGTATCTGTGTAAAAGCAGCTAGGGTTATTAATGTAGTTCTTGTATTTTTTTATGCATGCAAATAATTTGAAACGTATTAAAAATTGAGAATTATATTTATATAATTATCTCGTTATATGATTAATTAAATTGTTGTATTATGAAAGTTAGTTACACCTTTATGGCTATATCTAATTAAGCTTCAAACCCCAAAAACATATTTATGAATTTTTATTTTAAATAATTTTTTAATTTTTGTCAGGCATTGAGGTATGATCAATCAATTTTCATTAAAAAGTAAAAGAAAAGGGAAGAATATCCATCACCAGAGAATCTATAATTTCTCTGAAATTCTGAACCAAATCAACAAATTTCAGCAAAGGTCCCCAGGAATATTTCTTCTCACACAAACAGCCAAAGTATACCTGACACTACATATTTTACCCCCATTGACTAGTTCATGGGGAAAACTCATCACACTTTCAATCTAGTTTCTTCCCAACCACTTAGTTTTGGGAAACAATTGCATTTTCTTGCATAAAAAGATAAAAGAGTATAAAATATCTGAATATTGTATTCAATTGTCTTGTATATTCTTAGATTTTGGATAGTGATGTATGTTGTTTCTTGTCACACTTAGGTTATTCTTTCCTTGGCTTCTTACACTTGGCCTCACCTAGCTAGGAACAAGTTCTTAATTAATTTTGGCAAGTTGCTTTGAGATTTTTTTTTTCTTTTTGAATACGAAAAGACCCGCAACCTACTCGAAAGTAGATTTGTAGTTATCAAACTAACCATCCGACCAATTTGACTAGAATTACTCTTACATTTTCTTCTTCTCATATGCAAAATACATGTACTTTATTTTTACCTTTGTGCGTGATTAGGTAAAAAGATAATTGAACTTATAGAGAGATATGATACAAAAAGTGATTCAATCATAATTGATTAACAATAAGGGTATGGTTACTAATTAGAGAATTATCGATTTTTTGGAGAAATAAAAAATTGAAGAAAGAAAAGTAAAGAATACACTTGATATTAGACAACAACGAAGATAAGAGTGACAGCACGGATTTAGCTCAATTTGTTCAGTAGGCAATATTTAGGATAAATGATCAATGTTCGAACTTCGACGATGGTAGTGTGGAGATTATGTCCAAAACAGATGATTTACATCCTCCTTGTTGGACCGGGGTGTGAGGACCCTTTAGGATTGGAGATTCAACTTTTTAGGGTTTGATTAATTCCATCCTGCATGGTGCAAATACTAGTATAGTGTGCAAAAGAAGGCGAACCCGATACCCTTTTGGTTTAGCCCATTAAAATGCAACAAAGTTTCGATCCGAAATGGGATAGGCCCATTTCATATACGAAAAATAACATTCAAACCTAGCCCGTTACATATATGGGCCAGTTTTTAAAATTGGTTAGAGCCCATTCTCCCGATACAGCCCAATCCACCTCCTAGCTTAATTTTCCACGGTGCAATAGCGTCGCGCCGTCGCCTCTATCAACAATTCTTCGCAGTTATAGTTTTCCTGGTCAGAGGGATAACGGACTCCGTACTCGGATCTTCCAAAATCCATACACGGGTGAACAAAAATCCTTTGAAATACATTTGGATTATTTTTCAGTAATTTTCTTGGTAAATTTCTTCAGTTTAATTGATTGATGATTCATGTTTGTATTTATGTTAATGTGTATGCAGTTAATGAGTTGAGGTTCAATGGAGATTTCGAATTCCTCTGCATTATTTTTGACTCCTCGAATCAGTCGAATTCAGCTCTTCTACCGAGTAAGCTCTGTTTTTTTTTTCTTCACTTTCATTCCAAGATTTACTAAGTATGCGATTTTGTAAAGGTAGGGCGAGTAGTTCGAATCTTATGCCAATTTAAAGATTTTATGATTTACTGTATGATTTTATGCCAAGCTGACGAGTTTCAGCGTTTTACGGAGTAATATTTTTTGGCATTTGATTTGGACTGTATCTTAGAAAATGAACATTGATTAAAACGTTGGTGATTTCCGGTATGACCTGATGAATAGTATAATGCTGAAACACCTCATCCTACTTGAACATATATTTATAAATTGTAAAAGGAAACTGAGCAAAATGTTGTACTAGAAAGTGGTTTAGCCTTTAGACTGAAAATATCAAGGAGTATATTGAAGTTGCTTTATTTTCTTCAGACTGTTAAGTTCTCGAGCAGAGCCATCCAACCTGCACTATCCCATTTGGTAAAGACTAAATCATGTGGTTGTGGATTCTTCATAATCCATAATCAACTTAAACTTATAAATTATTGGCTTAAATAGGCTGGAATGTTTTTTACATTTTGTAAACCGTGACCTTGCCAACCATGTAAAAAGCAGATCATTAAATCTATGATTTTAATGATTGGATTAAATAATCTCTACCAAACACTATTGCCCAAATATACTTTAGGGATAAGGCCCAAGGGTCAGTAATCCCTCCAACTATTTAGAGAAAGGAAAATGCTAAGCACCCCTACAATTGCCAGTTGCCACTCACAAATAGACACTCCCTAATGTGGAAAAATGTCACATCACAAACACGCAATTGCCACATCAGGGAGTGGTTGTTTGTGAGTGATTAATGTAGAGGTGCATAGCATGGTCCATAGAAAAATAAAATTAGGCCATTGAACTAAAAAATTCCAAATAAACCTTTAAACAGGTAAAAATAATCCAATTGAACCTACGGGAAGTCAACAAGTTGCCCACCCAAAGTTGATGACATGGCGAATTATTAATTACTTGTATTATACATGGAAGCTCATCTGGAAAAAAATGAAATATATTATTGTTAGTATTGTTGTTGTTGTTATTATTATTATTATTATTATTATTATTATGATTTATCATTTATGAAAACTGAAATTACCGGCAAACATTAAAAAACCTGACAAATTCCGGTAACCATTGAAAACTCCAGCAATTAAAAAGGCATCAAAATTTTTACTTCAAGGCTACCAAATTTGTCATGGAGGCCATCTTCAATAGAAGCCTCCCATTCAAGACAGCATTGAAGACATTCTGCCTAGGACGTCGAGGCTTTCCAGATCTGGAACCATTTGGACAAAGACCAATCAGTTAGTCTTCGTGTTTGACGAAGAAGAGGAAAGCAAGTTGAGGTCTTTTCATGGAGATGAAGGGCAGTTGGTCCTCGTCTCCACTTTAGTCTTTGTCTTGGAGACCACTCTATTCCAGATCTAAATGTCTTGCCATGGCAACATTGGTTGCCAAGGTTGCCATTTGAATTTTTTCATGGTTGTAAAACTCGGCCTAGGCGGCGCCTGCATAGGCGCTAGGTGCCGCCATGCCGTGCCATTTTTGAGTGTAGTCGGCCATTACTCGGCCGGCCGCCTAGGCGGCCAACTCGGCCATAATCGGCCAAGTCGGTCGATTCTGTCTGATTTTGACCGATTCCGTCTGATTTTGACCGATTTCGTTTGATTTTGACCAATTTCGTCCAATTTTGACCGATGTCGTCTTTCATTAATTATTGATTTTAATATTATTATGATGTTATAACTTATGATTTATCATTATTTCATTTATTTGGATGTGTTATTTGATTGAATGTTGAAAACAGTCTCATTAAAATTGTCAAATTACAAGTCTGCCCCAATATTTTATATTTTTTTTGGTGCCCGCCTAGCGCCGCCTAGTTTCCGCCTAGGCGCTAGGCGCTGCCCGGGCGCCCGATTAGTGCCTAGGGCCTACTGCAACCATATTTTTTAAAGTAAATTTTTAAATTCTTTGAAAGAGAGATGGAGTAGACATTTACATGGACAATGAGTAGGGTAAATATATGAGGTGGCATTTTACATGGCAAATTTCTTGTTGTTTACAGGTAATAATAAGTCAAAAGGGCTTAATTGCATTTTCTTGTTGATGGTCTAATTTCATTTTCTTTAATAGTTGGATGGCTTATTTGACCCTTACGACCTTACCCGTATACTTTATAAATAAAAAAATACATGTTTACCTAAGGTACTAGTTAGACTTATGAAACCTCTTCTTCTGGTATTATGATTAATGTGAATAATTTTACTCATGTCGTGTTGGTAATACATAGTGTGTGTGAATACTCTATACTTGTCAAAGAACTTAGGGTGTGCTAATTAAGTTGGAAAATTTTCCAAAAAATGGAAAACGTTTTTCCAGGTTTTCCAGTTGGAAAAGATGGATGAACATCGAACAGTATCCCATAGTTCATCCATGTCGTCTTTCTTTTTTTTTTTTTTTTTTTTTTAATAAAAACTTTCAAGTGGGATCCATTGTTTTTGGAGAATGGAAATGGAAAAAGGCAGAAAAAAAGTGAAAAAATGGATTTGGTAAAATGGAAAAAGTGTTTGCATAATCCATATTCCTACGTTTAAGAGAATCTTTGAATAGCCTTTTAAATGTAGGTTACTTAATCTATAATCTTTCATCCAATCAACTAAGCTTTACCAAACATGAACAAGGTACATCCCACAGAAAACATTGCCCATGCACTCAAAGAGAGATTACTTTGGCTCTTTTTGTATTTGAAATCGGGGTTTCGTAGCTTGCTAAATTATTTAATGGTTATTTTTATGCTGCTGCCTACATGAATGGATTACTCACAATTCTATAGAGGCTTTATACTGATTTCCTCTTGCATTTTGAACTTTTAATTTTAGGGAAGCAATTTTAATGTCCGAAATCACATGACTCTCTCTGGTTCGGTCAATCGTATTCAGACAATGCATTGTTTTCCTTCAGATTTACAGAAGCAGTGCAATGCAAATTTTCCTGGAAAATTGGAGAATAGGCCAATGTCTTTGCCTGCACATGGAATCATAAGTAATTTCTTTTTCCTAAATTTGAAACTTCTTGAAGCTTTTGTTAGCTTGTTTTCCTGTTGAACATACCACTGAAATAATGTATGTGCAGTGTGATTTCGCAGCAATGCCATAACTTCTGCTGCTCTGTCTTCTGGATGCACAGTCCAGTTTCTCACTAAGAAATCTTTACTTAATCATAGATGACTAGAAGCATAAAGAGTAGATTAATATTGTGTTCTTTTTGGGAGAAATGTCTTATGGAAATCAAAGAAAATGTGCATCTTGAGAAATAAAACCTTGAATTCTGAAACTGTATACTATACAACATCGATTCTGACTACTGGCATGCATCACATATTACTTGTGATCTCTAGTTGTCAGTTAACTTAGCCTTATCCTGTTAATTACTTATAGTTTTCTTAGTTCAATCTAATCCTGTAGTCTTTAGATATGCCTTTGCTGCTTGCATGTTAAAATAAATCACATTCGTTTCATTTATTCTTATATCTCTTATCTGCCATGGGTTGGTCTAATTATGTGTTTATTCAGAGCAGAATCTTCTAGGCATGCTTCCCATTCATATTTTTTAAGGCCATGCCAAGTTAAAAGCGAGGACTCAGAAGGAACATTGAGTGGGGAAAGCATCTTACTAAATGAGCAGAGCTTGGAGCAGGAACTACAGCTTGCCATTCAAGAGGAGAATTATTCCCAAGCAGCAAAGATCAGGGATAGCCTTCGACTTCTCCACGAGGACACCAAGGCATCAGTTTTAGCAGCAAATGCTCGATTTTATAATTCGTTTAGAAGTGGAGATTTGGCTGCTATGCAAGCTCTCTGGGCCAAGGGTGATAACGCGTGTGTTGTGCACCCTGGAGTAAGTGGCATATCCGGCTATGATCTTGTGATGGGAAGCTGGGAGTTTGTGTGGGCAGACTATGAATTCCCCTTAGAAATTGAGATCAAGGATGTCCAAGTTCACGTTAGAGGCGACTTGGGATATGTTACTTGCATAGAAATGGTGAAGACAAAGGGCAGCAGCTGGGGAAAACAGTTCGCCACTAATGTTTTTGAGAAGATTGATGGTCAGTGGTATATATGCGTTCACCATGCATCATATATCGACTTGTAAAAATCATGGAAACTTGAAATTGCTAAAACTAGCTTGGAATTTTGAAATTTTGTATTCTATGCAGTAGTTGTAAACCCTTTTTATCTGTAATAAAAGACACTGCCCTGGACAAATGAATAGAGTATCCATAGCCTTTTTCATGTTAGAAATACTGTATTGCTGAGAACTGCTTCATTCCCCGAGTATTTTTACAACGGATCAAAAACTAGATGCCTCAATGCAGATTAAAGCTACTCATTTACCAGTAGATCTTCATGTCTCTCTACTCACAGAAGCAATGGTGAATAACCATTTATTCTGTTTGAGATTATACTAAGCTTTACATTTCTTAAAGTAACACTAAAACAAAAACGTCTTTTGCACTGTGAAAACTAGATCCTGGCAACTGGGGAGGGCGGTGGAGACGGTACATATCTTGCAGGTCCCTGCCCCTGGACTGCAGTTGAAGCATTTGTTGTATCAGAGATGACCTTCTGTTCCAAAGGGTCTGTAACCAACATGCTACATAGTTTCTGACTCGTTAGAATAGCGACGCATATGGAGAACGCTTCTAGCAAAGGGGTTGATTGGTCAAATTGAACAGAGTGAAGTCCATTTTTCAAAGGAGCCAAGCTAATGACGAGCTTCCTCTCATGCTCTCCCCCCTATCGAGACGAGCAAAAGACCAGAGAGTTATACAAAGCATTTTCAAGAAAAGCTATGGGAAAAGGCAGAGAATGAGAAATAAAGCAGAGACTGATACCTGAAGGTAAAGTGCAATGCGATCTTGGTTGTTACAGTTTTTCTCCTGTTCGGTGAGAACTTGTAACTTGCAACCAACATCCCACCCTCCACAATCGCATAATCCACCGGATTTCCATCTTTCAATTAGTGATGATGGTGAACCTTTTTGGGGCAAGCCATGAACACCACCGGGGAGGATGGCAATGATGTTACCAGGATTTTTATCATTATCCTTCGAATTGCTGTCTCCTGGAAAATGCTGGTTGCATTGATTGTCACTCGTCTCTCCATCATTATGGTTCACAATTTGGTTCCTAACCATAATGGCTGCAATCTCTTTGTCCAGCAGAAATCCAGGTGCTTGCTTGTCTACCTGTCCAAGTTTGACACTATACAAGATGGATTCTCTCACAATTGATTCATCCTTGCTATCCTCAAAATTTGAGTTGAGGACAGAAGAACTGGAAACCTTCATCAGACCAATCGTGTTATAAACTAATCCACTGCATTTCCCCTTAGATCCCTGGCTCATCCAGCCTCCACTCTTCTTTTTAATTTCAGAAACTGTATAAAAAGAATAAATCAAACATTCATCTACCTTTCCAGATTTTGGTAACTGTTTGACAGCAGCAACTAAAATGTCATTGCTATTGTCAACAGCAAATCTGAAGAATGGGAGCCCATCCTTAATCATAAGCTGTAGAAGAGCCCCAAGAGTTGAAGGTTGATGCTTCTTTTCGCAATGGTGTTCATTACTACTTGCAGGCTTCAAGGTCATGGAATTTAAGTTTTCATTTCGTGGCTTGCTAGTCTCAGCAGAATGAATTCCTTTGGACCTAAGCAGCGGGTCTAACAACCTCCTCATAGGGCTAGACGACCTCCCTTTGCCGCTAGCATTTGCCTTTTCTCTGTTGCCACCACCCACAATGGGACTATCACATACCCCAGAACTCACTGGACCAGACTTGTGAACAGTATGTGCATCACTCGATTGTGAAAGTGCTGATGTCTCCTTAAAGCTGAAACTTCTACTCATCCTACCAAGACTGAAGCTTAACCTTCTAATAGGTGATGGATGCCTGCCCTTCACTGCTTGCTGTTCGACAAGATCTAGATCCATTTGGGACATCTCAACTGAGTCCAAGGACTGTATACTGGATTTCTTATCTCTTAGACATTTAGCTTGAACCTGAGTGGGTGTAGTTGGTATCTCACCTTGATGCCGACATGTGAATAAATCTGAATTTTCGTCCTGAGCATATGATTCATGTTGCTTCATTCCAGATTCGCTAGAAGGTAAGGGACATGAATGTGGAATTGGATACAGTTCTCTTGAGTAAGATTCTTGAGAAGAGCAGGCATCAGAATATCTATTCTTCTCTGGCTCATTGGATATTGTTCTGGATTCTGAAATCTGAGAAGTCTCCATGCACTTTGTTTTAGGAGAATGCTTTGCCTTTGGTATTAGAATAACAATATTTTGTGGCTCAGGAGCACAGTTCTGGGTGGTAGGATTCACTTGGCTGTCTGCTTTAATCCTACTTCTACCATCTTGAGCATTTCTTCTGTCATTCTTGAACTGGTCTGAGAACAAATCATCTTTGCCTGATTTGGTTTTATTATCAGAAACTTTCTTTATGTCTTTATCAAAGTTTGTTTCAGAATAGCTCCTTCGAGAAGTAGGTTTTGAATGGACGTTTTTGTGTTGCCCATCCAATGTGCTACTTGGGGCTGTCCAAAAATCTTGACCATGCATGGAATTTCCACGGGCATGCTTCACAGATTCCACCAGTTTTTGTTCATGAGATAAACTAGGGAATGGACCATGTGGTCGGGTGTGTTTGTGCTTGTTCTTGTGCTGAGGAGATGAGCCATACGCTTTAGGTGGCCTGCCAGCCATAGAAAACGATTCACCTCCTGAAGATGATGATACTTTCTGGTGACCTCGGGTAGGCATACGTTCATTGTACTTCCATTTTTCTAGATGGTTCCAGTCAATAACTCCAAAGTTCAAAGCTTTTGCCCGGACGTTTTTATCCAATTCTGTTCTCTGCAGATATTTAGGCAAATTTGACATGTGCTTCACAAGCTCCTCATCGTTGTCTGCCTTGCTACCCAGTTGCTGCTTTTGGCAATCCGCAGAAGAGTTCGGCTGGACCATATTTTTATTCACCGCATGTTTTGGCACTTCGTGATGCTTGCTGCTATCTGCATGACCAAACGGGTAATCATACTTGTCTTGAAACTTTGAACTTAGCTTTACTTTGGATACTCGGTTCTTTTCCTCCACAACACTCGAGGTCTGTTGTTGCCCTGAAACCTGCCTAGTTGACTCTGCTATGTACCCCATATTCCAAACAGTTTATAAACGATAATCGTTGGATTTCATACTCGATGGCATAGCATCTTATGCCTCATGCTTCACCAACTTCCCTTCAAAACAACAATAAAGTAGAAACTATCAGATATTATTGCTAATGGGGGTGACAACTGACAATGTGACATAAACCTCAGTACATGGGAAAAACATAACTACAAAATAACCATTTTCCCCAAATGGGAGAATTGGGCTCAAATACAGACATGATTTGGGCTCAAACCCACTGCACTCTTCATGGAGGCTTCAATTTTGAGGGTGAAAATTATCAGAGGAGAACCAAGACAAATGGCCAAGAAGGTAAAAGCAGCAAAATCTAAACATCTTATTTACTACTTGTAAATTCAAGATATGGAATCACATACCATTAGCCAAGACATTTATGACCAATATAGACATTGCCTATACACAAACAGACAACAAGCCTTAGGTTTCAATGCTCATTTTGACCAACATGCACACCAGATATAGAAAAGCATATATTAACCACACCTTAAAAACATAGAATTTGCAAACAAAAAACTTCTAAAATGCCACAGATCATGGTACTAGAACCCCAAGATTTGCAGACATGAATGGAAGTTCAGATCTTTCTCCAAGATTACACCAAAAAACTGCAAAATAATCATGCCCAAAACAAAAACTCACAGATCCACACAAAAGTAAAGCTAAATCAACGGTAAACACACAGTAAACACATTTGAGCTGTGAGTCAAAAGCAACCAAAGAAATCCAGGAAAAGATGTATAATGCCCAGACATTCTCTATACATTCCACTTTTATAAGCACAAAAAAGGAAAGCAAATACACCTGGGGAGACAAAATAGATGTACATACTTACGCTAAACGCAAAGAAAGGAATTGCAGGGTGGCTGAGCGCAAGAAATCTTCCTGGAAGTAACTGAAAGGCGGTTTCTTCAAAGCCGGAGAAGAAAAGGGATCTGTGTAGTGGCTAAAGATGGATACAGAGAGTGGTACACTAAATACAGAGTGAGAGAAAATACCCGCGAAATATATATGTAATAATGCGAGTCATAATTCATAATAAATCGCAGAGAGAGAGAGAGAGAGAGATGGAGAGTGGGAGTGAGTGAGGCATTTTCTTTTCTATCGAACGGTTAAGAGTGGGAGTGGCGGTAGCTAAGGTAGATGTGGATGGGGGCGAGGTGGGGACCACGAATTTGCAGCATTTTCTTTAATATCGAATCCCAAAGCCACGAATCGCGGGGCCCACATGAGCGACGAATGGTGGGGCCCACGTGGCTACCTGGGGGGGGGGGGGGGGGTGGTGATTCCTTATGTCGTCGGGCATTCTTGGTTCTGTCTTCTATTCTGCGGGACTGCATAATTTGCATTGTTCTTTTTAGTATTTGTCACACTTTATATTAACATAAAGAAAAGCAAAATTTGTACTTTTGTTTCCAAAATCCAAAATTATAACCGAGATTTGAGTTAATATTTGTATTATAAGCACTATCGTTGTTAAGTCAGAGAGATAGAGTTTTTTTTTTTTTTTTTTTTTTTTTTTTTTTTTTAATGAGAAACAGATTTCATTAAATAAGATCCAAGCTCAAAACGTGAGCAATGGAAGGAAACGGTAAAGAAAGACAGTTCATACAGTCAGACATAAACAAACTTCCCTAGCTAGGCAATGGGCAACCTTGTTCGCAGACGGTTTAGCAAATAAAAACCTTAAGTTTGTAAAACTATAAGCTATGAATCTAATATCATCAAGAATGAGATCAAAGTATGAAATAGAGTCATAAGAATGATGAATGCCATTAATAGCTAACGAAGGAACCAACAACTCTATCTGAGAGATAGAGTTGTTGGTTCTTTCGTAGCTATGCTATTAAGATTTGTAAATACTTTTTTTTTATATTTATAATACGATATATATTAGTGTTTTTAAAAAAATATAATAACAATAATTTTTGATAACGCACTAACAAACAAAAAAAAAAGACCTAAAACACCACTTATTGACAACTCGTGAATTATAAATAGTGACTCATATCACATAATTGATGAGACTATTATTACTTTCTACTTTAAGAACTACAAATGTATTTTTTTTTTTCTAAAAAATATTGCTTAGTGTACTTCCAATAATATTAGTATATCTTATGTCGGGTCGGAGTGTGTGGAGGCCCTTAGGGTTGGGGACTCAATCTTTTGAGAGAAGTATATGCTTAGATATAAAAATAAAAATCATATACACAAAATTTGAAAAACTATATAGTGTAATTTGTTTGTTTAGCAAAAACTGTAACTATAAATGCATGTATTCATACTTTTAAGATATTATAAATAACTTTAATTATAATAAAGTTGTTATTAACAAAACATGAAAACATTCGACCATGAATTCGTGTGAATTTGTAGGGGAAGTGGGTTTGTCGTTTGTACAAATTAAATAATTTTGATTTTTTTATAATTCAAATTTATAATCCCACCTTATATTCAGGACTCTATGAACCTGCCTCAATACTTATAAGGAGGTAAACTGAATTTAACTAGTTTCGAGATTTCATACTAAATTATACACTTTTACGCATAAGGAATCAACTCCAAACTTAACCATGTATAATATTCATGATAGGATTCACTTATTTAGTTATTTACTAAACTAATGTTTTATAGATAATTTTGATTTTCAACTAATGTGAAACCTTACACAAAGATGTGCTAGGTAAATTCACTCATGTATAATAATCAGTAATAACTACACCACTAAAAAAAAATATTCAACAGATTCAAGTAAAAAATTATTAATAAGAAATGAACTTATAAATGTATTTTTAAATATGAGAATCCTACCCTACTAACCAGGCTACATATTTCGGAGCCTTTGGAGATTATTGATGTGTGAATGAATTGTTGAAAATTTGAGGATTACAGCGTTTGTTATGTCTTGTCCATTTGTTTTATTATCTGATCTTCTAAATCCAAAGTCATCGTCATGCTGTTTCTTTTGGACTTTTCGTCGCAACAAGGTGAAAAGCATTTCCTGAATCCCATTTTCGTCAGAAATACAAAATAGCCACTTCACGTTCTTTCATGTGCCACAGTACCACGGACTAATTCTTATCTTTCTTTAATCATTAAACAAATAAACAATGACATATAATAATGGTGAAAAAATATTTGTTTGATTAGAGGAAAAAAATTAAACTTCTTTTGGTACGGTTTAATAATCCATTGACTATAGGACATGCATTGGAACTTCAAAGGAAGAAAAAACACAAAGACAATGTCTTTATATATTTATTTATTTTTATTTTTTCCTGCTTGTCTGATTATAAATGGATAAATGCTTTTGGCAGTTGGCATCAATGAAAAATAATTTAAGTGTGTATTTGATTCCTGAGTTTACACATTAAGAATGATGATCAAAATCATAATTAGTGTTTGAATGATAACATTTTAAAATGTAATTATATGTTTTGATTACTTCTTCAATTAAAAATTTGAGTTTTTTCCACTTTTGGTCCCTTGACTTTACTTGTGCTGACAAATGTGATTCATGACTTTTATTTCAGACAAAATTAGTGCCTAACTTCAATTTCTTTTCCACATTTGGTCCCATCCGACCAAGAATCCGGCCAACCCACCGGAAATTTACACATCTCTTGTTTTTTTAAGGGAAAATTAGTCTTTTCTAGTCATGTAAAATAATAAAAACTAAGAGATATTTAATTGCTTCATTGTTGTCTTTGCTCTGCGGCGGCCTCTGAGCTTTGAACTTTTTGCAGAACGTCGTGTGGCTGTTCAGAGCCTCTTCACTGCCAATATGCCGCTCCGACCTCGCGCACAACCCGCATATCCACCGCTCTCGGACCTTCGCTACGTACGCCTTCGTGCACTCTTCCGTCAGTCCGCAGCACTCGCATTTCGCGAACAACATCACTTCGTTCATCTTCGCCGCCGTCGCTGTCGCCGCCGCTCCGTTTCCCTGCGGTGCCACCTCCTTCCTCATCATCATCGCCTTCGCAGCCATTCTCCGTGAATTCCAAATCCAAACCGCTCTTCCGAAATTTACGCACTGCATAATAGCACAGAGTATTCAAAAATCAAACACAAAATCAGAATCATTTGATAAATTCCACGAATCAAATATATATCCCGTAAACCTACACTATAAACTTCTCAAATCTACATGCAAGTTTAGACTATATCTGCAAAATTACATTATACATACATTTAGCAGACAACCTGGAGAGAATTTGCAGCAACGGTCTTCGTTTTCTGTTTGAAAATTATCTTTTTTTCTCCCACTCGCCTTCTTCTTCAACAATCTCGCCGCCGATGATCAGGAGCTTGAAGATCATATACATTTCAGAGAGCCCTGTATTTCAGAGAGCCATGTACTCCACCGAACAAAGTTTTTTTCTATCACCGTCGTCGAGTAGACGCAAATATAGTTAGCACTTAGCAGAGAAACTTCGGGAAGAAACTGGCAGTGACATTGATTTATAGGATGAGGATGGAGGTATAAATATAGTTAGCACTTAGCAGAGAAACTTCGGGAAGAAACTGGCAGTGACATTGATTTATAGGATGAGGATGGAAGTATAAATAAATAAATAATAGGAAGCAACTTTAATTTGATGAGAATGAAGCAATTAAATATTTCTTAGTTTTTACTACGTATTATTTTACAAGGGCAAGAAAAGACTAATTTACCCTTAGAAAAACAAGAGATGTGTAAATTTTCGGTGGGTTGGCCGGATTCTTGGTCGGATGGGACCAAATGTGGAAAAGAAATTGAAGTTAGGCACTAATTTTGTCCGAAATAAAAGTCATGAATCACATTTGTCAACACAAGTAAAGTCAAGGGACCAAAAGTGGAAAAAACTCTTAAAAATTTCATTCTCTAATTAAAGAGATGTATCGTTTCGTCTTATTAGTAATCTAATTTTTAAGTTTGTGATAGTATTTTTAGATTTTATTTTATTGATGTTTTGGATGTCATTATATTAGGATTAGTTGCCTTATTTTTTATTTTTGTATTTTTAAAACATTTATTCCCATTATAGGGTAATATGCAACCAAACATCAATATTGATAATCATTCTAATTTCACCTTACTACCAAACATGCAAAATACCTTCACCAAAACCCATTATCATTAGCAAGAATTTGATTCTCATTCTAATTCTGATTTCAATGTACGAACAAAACACACCCTAAATAATTAAGAGTATATATGAGAAGAATTAAGAGTACTTGTAGTACTTAATAACGGTTAAGTGTGTGATTATTATGTTATTATTTTTTTATTGTATTTAGTTAATAATTGTGTGGTGCTAGAATAGTTAGCTAGGGAGAGTCTATTAGTTTGGAGAGTTTCACGTGTAACAACTCTTCTTAGTATTCTATCTCTATCTGTAACTTCATTCTGAATTAATCTCTCTCATCTGGTATCAGCCAAGCCTTACGTTAGGTCCTCCTTTTTTCTCTCTCCCTACCGTAAACGCCAAACATGTCGACCAATTCCTCTGAGAGAATCGTCACCGCCGTTGCACCACCGCCAGCGACCACCCAAACCCTCTAGCCACCGCCCATCACTTCGTCTCTATTAAACTCGTCTCTCTCATCATAACAGGCCGTTTGGTTGGAGGGGGGAATTACGCGGGAAAGGAATTGCAATTTCATGAAAAATGAATTACTGGGAATAAAGTGGAATTTAAATTATAGTGTTTGGTTTACATGAATATAATTATTGGAAATTTCAATTTCAATGTTTGATATATGTGAGAATAGGTAGTATAAAGTCTAAAATGCCCATACTTATTATTATTATTATTATTATTATTATTGTTGTTGTTGTTGTTGTTATTATTATTATTATCATCATTAATCCTAAATGACCAAATTGAAATATTGCTTTTAAAAATTTATGTAACACGTTGTAAATAAACTCTAAAATTGTATAGCGAAAGTAAAAAAAAATAGATAAGGGAGTTTTGAGAACACATATTTGATTGAGGTTGACATATTGATTGACGTTCTATGTTGAGAATATAATAAGAATGCACACCAATTTTACAGTAAATACATAATATGTTATTATTTGTATATCTTTATGTGCATAAACTTACATCTATAATCTGTTAATTATAAATGTATCATGACATGTAATTTTAACTGTGTTCTAAGTTCATAATATTTTAATTGTTAAGTAAATGAATTTAAAGCTAAAAATATTCATAAGTTGAGTGTTTGAAATGTAATTATGATTATAATATAATTTTAAGAGATACTTGGTTAATTGGAAAATTAACAAGTTTTTATTATGAATTTAAATTATTGATTTTATAAACATGTACTTAATATATTATATACTTGCTATTATAATCTTGTTAGCAATAAGTATAATATACATAATATGTTAGCACAATTTATATACTTATTGCTATCATATTATGTATATGTAATTAACAGATTATGTATTTATAATACTAGCGTTATTTCTAATTGCGTAGGAATAACGACACCACTAGTGGCACGTTTGGTTCGTGGAATAGGTTTGGAATGGAATAGCATTCTCAATAATAAGCATATTCCTTTGTTTGGTAAAAACATCTATTCCCAGGAACAGTTCCTGGGAATGACCTATACCTATTACCCTTGCAAGGGGAATAGAGATTTCTGGGGGCCCCCCTGGTATTAGACTATTCCTGAGTTCTCAGAAATAGCCTAAAGTTGCTATTTCCTATTTTGCCCTCAATTAAATTTATTTCCTATTTCACCACCACCACCACCGTCACCACCGCTGCCGCCACCTCCACCACCGCCGCCGTCACCACCACCACCACATATTTTTATAAGGATATTTATGTCTTTTAAAACATATTTCATTTCTATTCCTTAAACTAATCAAACACTGTAATATAATTCCTAAAGTATATTCCTTCCGCGAACCAAACAATAGAATACAATTCATATTCTATTCATTGCATATTCCATTTCTTATGGAATAGTATTCCTATTACCTCAAAATTCATTCCGTTAACCAAACGTGCTATAAAGGTACCAATATGAGCATATGAATTACGGAATGGAATTGTTTTGGACCGTATCACGATATACTGATTTCCGCATTTCATTTGTTAAACCTTTGACATTTGAGTTAATTGTCTTGGGCCTAGATAATTAAAACCATCAAAATGTTAGAGCATGAGGAGCAAATTATTGTGTGGACCATAGTCTACATAGTGTTGTATGGATCATAAAAAAAAAGTATTTTTAATATATTAAAAGTACATTATTTTTGTATTAAATGTCAATTATAAAATATTATATATTTTTAATATTCAAATAATGTAATTTATTTAAATACAAAGTACATTTTTTATATACTAAAAGTACATTATTTTTTTTGGTACTAAATATACATTATTTTATAACATACAAAATATGGTCCATACAGCTTGTGTGGACCATAATGATTGATATGAGATGGCTTCCATTCTTTCAATGTATAAGAAATATAAGAAATGATGACTAAATAAGATTTTATTTTTTTCAAGACAATAATAAATACAACTAATGTATAATTGTATACATACAATTACTGAAAAAAATAATCGAATTTAAATCTAAACTTTAATTTACAAATAATATAACTTATCCCGAAATGTTTATTGCCTTCACCGAATTGAAGCCCCATCCAAGTCTGAAAAGCCACTTTCCCCGGTTAGGTTTGCTATATCGATGAGAATATATAATATCATTAATATGTGCATATGAGGTGGCTTCCATTCTTTCAATGAATAAAGAATCTTTTTTCAGTCTTTTATTTCGTGATTGAATCAAACTCTCCCGGGTTATGGCGGCTTAGGGGTCGTTTACCAAAATGGAAAAATAGAAAATATTTTTTAAAAAATGGAGAATTGGAGAAGTAGAAGAATGGAAAATGAAAAACTTGTTTACTAAAATCAATTCTCAAATATAATTTTCTATCTCCATTCTTCCATTTCTTTAAGATTTTGGAGAAAGAAAATTCCATGTTCTCCATTTAGAGAATTGGTAAAAATACGCATGAACAGTAACTTGTTGAGTAAAGGTCCTAGGTTCGACTCTTACCTTGCGCTTCTTCTTTACATTTTGCTTGGCTCCTCTTCTTCAATTATTATTATTATTATTATTATTATTATTATTATTATTATTATTATTATTATTATTATTATTATGTTTTTCTTCAGTTTTCTCTTAGGCGCCTCTTCTTCAGTTTTTCTTCTTCAATTATTATTATTATTATGTTTTTTTTTTCTTTTTTCCTTTTCTCTTGTTATTATTATTATTATTATTATTATTATTATTATTATTATTATTATTATTATTATTATTATTATTATTATTATTATTATTATTATTATCTTTGTTGTAGAAATGTACAAATGCTATATGATAATATTTATTTATTTAATAAAATCAGAAAATTAGAGAAATGAATATTATTATTATTATTATTATTATTATTATTATTATTATTATCTTTGTTGTAGAAATGTACAAATGCTATATGAGATGATTGTATTTAATAAAATCAGAAAATTAGAAAAATGAGTATTATTATTATTATTATTATTATTATTATTATTATTATTATTATTATTATTATTATTATTATTATTATTATTATCTTTGTTGTAGAAATGTACAAATGCTATATGAGATGATTGTATTTAATAAAATCAGAAAATTAGAGAACTTAAAAACTGGAGGAATGGGGAATGAAAATTAGAAAATTGGAGAAATGGAAAACTGGAGAAATGGAGAAGGAAAAATGGAAAAATGGAGAAATGGAAAACTGGAAATGGAAAAACAGAGAAATGAAGTAAACGACCCCTTAACCTTTAATTTAATTAATTAATTATATATTTAAAAAAAAAAAAGACAACGATATGTTATGAGTAAGCTCTAATTATAAGAGAGAACAAATTGCACTTTTGGTCCTGTGAGTATTAGGGTACTGACAATTTGAGTACGTGACTTTCAAAACTCCCAATTTAAACCTTTAACTATGCAATTTTTGGCAGATTTGGTCCTCCGGACCAAATTGCCGGCCAATTTTGGCCGGAAAAAGATTTAATGCTTCGAATTAATTTCTGATGAGGGTAAAAACGTCATTGCGAGTGTATTTCGATCATCATGAGCATCATGGTACTCCGGCTCGTCTTCTTCTTCCTCCACTGAGGCCACAGAGACAATAGGTTCACCACTAGCATTTCCACTGTCCTTCTCATCGGGATATCTAACAACAACTACAGGGCAAACGCAATGTCTAACACAGTAATCACTAACGTTGCCAAGCCTTCCGTCGTTTCCT